TTCTGTTGTTATTGGATGAAAGGCCGATGACAAAACAAAAAACTGGTTATAGAACAAGTCAGTTACCTAATCACAATACAATGTAGCAAGTCGAAAAATAAATTCAAAATATCGAATGGCTGGCGCCAATATTGACACTGGCGTTAAATGAAAACAAAGATTATTTGTTTTTTATTCCGAAATATTTTCAATTTGCGAATCAATAAACATCAATGAGAATTAAAAATATGGCGAAATTATACAATATTTAACGGCAATAATTATTTTAAAAATTGTAAAAAAAAAAATGGCTACAGGGGCCATTTTATTGATATATTCTTTTATCTATACTTTCTAAACACTTTTAATTTTAATGGAAACCAATGTTTCTATTAAATTCATTCCTTGTCCAAGCAAAACATTTCCAAATTCAACCGGATTGACCACGGTATTCCATTGCACACGTCCGTGAATACACCCAACACATGTTCTTCGGTCACAGACTGCCAATCTTAATAAAAAGAAATTCAGCGATCCAAATAGCCGCTACAAAATCTGCTGTTTCTACATTTTCATTAAGAACGAAGAACGAAAGGCTGCTCCCAGGGTGGTTATGTTTTCAAAACGTATGCCATAATTTAATTCAAAATTTCCTAATTTATTTGTAGACTGGCAGCAATGACGATTTCAGAGTGAAAATACAACAACAACGTTATAATAAAAAATATAAAAGAAACACATTTAGGATTGTATATATACATAGAATATTTACGAAATTTTCTTTTGAATGATGATTCAGACATGGATGATTGAAAAAAAAAAATAAAATAAAACAGTTCGTATTTTTAAACAATTGTTTATTTAGCAAATAAAGAATGAGAAATTGGTGATGGCAGAGGTGATCATTGGGTTTACCTTTTGATCATCATTCATTACTCATTTGTAAGCACTCAGCCTGTCAGTGTGGGGGAATTAATTAAAAATGCAATTAGTTCCTAGAATTTACAGAGATCAAATTGCGATATTAAAGGTGGTCATTAATTAATTGATTTTGGTATTACGATTTACGCCATCGATTACATTCCTACTCCTACAATCCTGCTGCTCTCCAGAAAAGTATGAGTAATCGAGTAGTTGTTTTATACATTTTATTGGTTTATCAGGGAATTTTCTAATCCCACTGAGATACATAAAATTCCAGAATGTCTATCTCTGTACCTTCTTCAAGTTTCCACATCTTTATCTATCGAATACATATTTTAGCATAGGATAAAAATCTGTTTACACACCTATAGCATTGGCAATAAAGGTATAGACTAAAAGTTTTATATATTTACGCCTTTCGTCAAATCCCACCATGGATGATCTTTTGGACAGACTTCGAAAAGAAATTATTCATTTTTCTGCTATTTAAGTTATATATTTTTATATTTCACGACAAACAGCTGCGAAAAATGAAATAGAACCACCAGTATAAGCAATGCTTAGAAGGTGTATCAACGTTTTTTAAAAGTTTGAAGAACTTTGGAATGTATATTTAAAAGGAAAAGTGTATAGATTCTATATAAATAAAAAAAATATATACACGTTTTTAATTCACAGATTTTTTTAAAGAAAAATTCAAATTTATGTTGATCTATTATAGTTTTAATATTATGTATAGACCCTACCCCGTAATACGAAAAGCATGCCCATACGAGTATAATTACACTTGCACCGCCTTGTTCAATCCTTTTTGTACTCTCCACCATAGTATGGAGGATATATTAAGTTTGTCATTCCGTTTGTAACATCTCGAAATATACATTTTAGACCCCACAAAGTATATATATTCTTGATCAGCATAAGAGTCTACGTCGATTTAACGATTTCCGTCTGTCTGTGGAAATCACTCTAGCCGGAAATGTTTAAAATTTTGTATTTGAAGTTCATAATGGGTACTACGTGGCCACATTTTGGCAACGGCACTTCCCTATATTCGGAATGATTTTAGCTACATTATTCACCGATTTTTTATTCAAGTTTTGCATTTGAATATTGTAATGGTGTAATTTTTTATGACAAAAGTTGTCTATGTAGGTCCACGACGTCGTAACGGCTACATTCGGTATTTTTAAGATTTTAACAGAGTTTTTAACGGATTCAATTTTTTTAAATTGCCAAAATCGGTCCAAATTGTGGACGGTATTCAAAGATCGACCCGGCCGAACTTACTGCTTTTTTACTTGTTGTCATATATTTTGGATCAGTTTCTGCATTCGGTGGTCGTCTGACATAGCTCGGGAACCATAGTAGTTAATACTCTAATCTGTAATGCTAAAAAAAATATTAACAGGTATTTTATTAACAAAATTAATAGGTTACTTGCTGGTGCTATTTTCTTTTCGCGACTGTAGTTGGATATGTAAATGTAAACAAAGTCATAAATTTATTTCAATGGATAAATAATAATAAATCATAAAAATATTCAAAAAAAAAAAAAAACTTAAGCTCTCTCATAGCATGAACGACATCTATTGAATCACATTTTTCGAAGGTAACAGATGAGACAACATTTTAGATAATAGATTATAATAGATCTATGAGTTACCTTCTGACACGCTAAACTTTGTACTCTCTTTCTGTTCGCTCTCTTTTACTCTAAATTAAAGTAAACAGACAACATCCACTACATGTACCACTATTTGACTTTAACTTACTCTTCTCTTAATATCTTGAACAGTGACCGTCCGATTTGGAACATCTAATAACAATAGGTCACTAGGGAACTACTTAGTACACCTTCAAACATAGGTCACTCAATATTTCCATAACATCTGTTGGTTAAATGATCGATGGCGAGATCATTGCCAATTATAAATATTTATGTGTGTAGGTATGTTCTACATGTGTATTATACACTCCCGAACACATCCACATTGGATTGTTTTGTAGGGAAATTACATAATATATTTGTTGTTGTTGTTGCTGCTGCTGTCGAAATTAAATACAATTATTTATAGCACGTGCCATCACAGATTGCCGGCGCTTTGTTTTTGTTTCGTAAATAATTAGTTTTTTTTATTGTTATTGTTTTTTGTTTGGCACATAGCACTTTCATTTGTGTAGCTTGTGTTCTTCTCAGCTGGCTGGTGTAGAGAATTGATTGCTCAATTTCCATTCGATGTGCTCTACATACACACATACACATGAATGAATGTGTGTGTACTTGGCTTTTTGTTTTTACAATTTTAATTCATTTGCATTGCAATCCAGTGGAGCCCACTTCTCCTCCCACACACACACACACTAACACACTATACCTGCAGTGGCGAGAGCTTTTATAGAACAAACCTGTAAATTGAAACAAATGGTCATTTTGTCCAATCTGATTGGGGCCACACATGGCTAAGGGTGTGTGTGTTTGTTTGTGTGGGAAGATTTTGCCACCCCTCCCACAGTGCGCTTAATGTCGACAGCATTTAATTAGTCTTGAATTAATTATTTTCCAGTGTAAACAACAATCTCCACTTGTTTATGTTCTCGCCTTACATTGTCGGCGGAAATCCACTTGAAATTCATTCCATGTAATGGAGCAGGCAATGAGGTAATATCAATTGGAATAGCCGGTGACCACAATAGATTTCTTCTTATTTTAAATATTCCAATTAATTTATCAAAAAATTATTGACAAGGCTTTTGATGGACTCAAAATATACTCGCTCTCTTACAGCTAGACTGTTTTTGTTGGTAAATCTATTGATGTAAAACAAGTTAAAAAGTATGAGTCGTGTTTGCCGACAGATGTATACCCTCAGCCAAGGTTCGATTATTTAAATATATTTTGACATCTGTTATGATTATTCAAATTGTTGACACTCTATAGAGTAGGCCCCGAAGGAATGGGCCAATATTATCCATTTCGTATCCACCCAAATAAATATGATATAAATATTGCAACTTACTTGGTTTGGACTATATTGGTTACTTTCTTCACAAATTTGGACCCTTTGTGGGCGAGGTGGACTGAACCGATATTGCCCATTTTCGCACCTGATCTAGCACTGATGAAAATTCTAGTATATGCGAAGTTGGATTATCCTTAACCTTTTTGCGCATTAAATTATTTTTTTGTTGAAATGTTCGACCTTTTATGGGGGTGGCACCAGAAGGAGTTGGTGATGGAGATACATCGATCTCCGAACTCGATCTAAGTTTGATAATAATATTACGATGTAGCAAGTTTGTATCAAATCGGATACTCTCTTCGAGAGTTATCGTGCGACAGACAGACAGACGGACGGACATCGCTAGATCGACTCCAAGTGCCCTTATACGGATTTGGTCCAAAGAGATCTAGGGTCTAAAAACGTTATTTCGATGATGCACGTTTTGGTCGTATCTAATAATATATACCATATGGCTGAGGGTATAAAAATACGATTCTATTTTTCGACTATTTCAATAAACGTGTGTAATACTACACGTTTATGATATCTCGTGTAGCTAAAAGGATAACCTTATATAGATTTGAACAATTTAAAATATTTTTCATTTTTGTCACCTTATTTTGTTTGACGTCATCATTTTATCGGACGAATGCCATTTCTGGCAATTTTTTGTGAAGTAACTGAAAATATCAAATTCTCGGTATGGCTTTAACATTGAAATAAATTTACAAATTAATTCATAATTGAAAAAAATGCTCAAGTTTATTTACCCCATCGACATTTCGATGCCCAAATTTATAGAATTGTCGATGCCAATAAAATTCGTAGCAACAACACTGTGAACTTCAATAAAACCGAAAGCTCAAATTCCAAGCTGTGTCAACAAGAAATGATTGACGCTGACAAGAAGTCACTGTCCCCATGGTGGCATGGCACAAGCCAACCATCATCGGCAATCTGAGTCATTAAAAGCCAACGAAAATAAAAAGTGAAAAGAATTTCCCATTTCATTTCTGAACTATCTCTCTTTTAATTAATTCCACTTTAATATGTTTGATTTTTTAAAAAATCTTTTTCTTCTTTCATTTACAGGCTGGTGGTCGGTGCACCCAAATTTGATACTTCCTCATATCAGGAAGGCGTGGTGGAAGCAGGTGCAGTATTTAATTGCGGCATGGAAGATGACCAATGCTCTTTGGTGAGATTCGATTCTTCAAGTAAGTAAATTATTCCGATCGTAAAAGTTTAGCTCTAAGTTTAGATATGAAATTCCAACAGCGTTGAGAGCAGCAAAGGGTACCAGCATAAATATGAGTTTGTAAAATTGGAGAAAAAAAGAAATGAATTTAAAATGGGGCGCAGATGAATTCAGTTTTTTTTTTTCAAAATACGTGGGCTATTAAGGCATTTCTGGCTAAAGAGAATACAACATGTGTATGACATGACCTGGCATGGCTTTTATTTTCATCTTCGTGACAAGTAATGCAAATGCTATATATTTCACACCAGCCCTCTCTCGAGTCGTCGATGTTGTCATAACATGGTATACTTTTGTGATGCATCTTTGAAAGATTTACGAAAGATCTGTGGCATTTAGGCTTTCATTGACTCTGTCAGTTGCACCTTTTGTGGATTTCTAAACAATCGCCAAAAAATATTAAAAACAATCTTCACATTCAGATTGATGACCATCATTCATTCACTCGTGTGTTGAATCAACAACAGCAACAAGAAAACAAACAGGGCACCATTCCCCAGAGAATGTTGTGAGTTTGTTAATGCCGGGAGATTACAAACTTCCCCACCTTTAAAAACAGCCCACACAAAGAAGCTATCAAAGAAATAGCAACGAGATCAACGATAGAAAAACGCACACACACACATACATACAAACATATTTATAATCGAGAAATGCCACAAATTATACAAAGGTGAAACCTACGCATCTAATGTGTTCACATTCCCCTCCGCCTTTGGTCCCGGTCCACAAATGCACATTGCTGCCATACATCATACGAGGGTCTAGCTATGTCTATTTGTATATTTATGATTAAAAACTATGCTCTATTTGGTGAACAGCTTCGTTTTGGGACAAAACTGGTCCACCTTAGCAAACCATAATTGGCAAATGTTGAATCTATTCTAAACAAATTTTGGAAATATTGTTCAACATCTGTGTGGTTTGGCTGGCCTGACAGTGGTGTCAATGTTTTTTGATTCGGAATTTATAAAAAAAAAAAACAAACAAGGTTGAAAGTATCAATTTGTCTGTCGACTGATATATACTCTCAGTACAGGATCAGTTATGTTTTTATATAGATGAATTGTATGTGGCCCAAAATTATTGTTCCTCGAATTGTGATGTACAAAATATGAATCAGGTCGTGGCATCCGCTAGGTGCATATGCAATTTATGGTCGTTTGCTGGGAAGGTACTAAAAGGATTGGACCTATATACCCTATCATCTTCGCACTAATATGATATATTGTATGTTTTTAGAGAGCCGGGAATGTGGGTTACATCGTATACCCACTTTAAAAAGGGGATATAATAGTAGACTTAGGTGCGATTCAAATATTAAGGTGTGACAAGTTTGGATTTAATGGTGGACGAGATATACAATTTTGAAAATTTATATAAATGAGCTTACAGATGAAGCGGACCGATCTAATTCAACATCTAATATTGAAATGTGCAAATTTTAGGGAAAGTCGGGGAGTAAATTTACATTTTGCAATAAAGTAAATAAATTTTGATCCTTTGTAGAGGAGTTATCAGAAGGAGTGGACGATCTCCGCACCCGACCTATTATACATACAAAATTTTACAATGTGCGAAGTTTTCACCAAATTTGAAATTTTTTTATTTGAAAATTCTCAACGATTGTGGAGATGCGATAAAACGACTTAAAATCCGATCTTAGTTTTATAAAATCTAATATTGACACACCAAACAGAGGGACGGACAGATGGCATGGTTAGGTCGAATGCAAAGGTCTTGAAACGGATTATTACCAACGGATTTTTGCCAATGAGGTTTGGACCCTTTGTCTGTTGAAAGGGTATAGACGACTTCTGTTGTTTTGCAGTTAAAAAGGACGTTGGGTATGTCATCTGGATGTAGATAAATAGACTTTTATAAATACAGATGAAATACCAAAAACAAGAAATTAAATATTTCAGAAAATGTATATTCACAATGGCTTATAATCGCCTTTTCGAATTAAAATCTTTTCTCCGTGTATATATTAGTGTTACTGAAATTTCGATTTGAAGAAAAACGTTTCAACATTCGGTCCCATTGTAAGTACTTTCCGCCCCAAATGCATTCAAATGTGGAGCTATTTAAATTAAAAAAATAATTATTATTATTTTAAATAAATTCGGAGCCACTATGCCTGCCTTTTCGCTGCTTGTCAAGAAACATGTCTGCAAAGTAAAAGATGTTGTTCGCCAGTCAGCCAGCCAAGAGCATGAATTAAACTTCTACATTACGGTTAAGAAATCTGTTTGTAATAAAACTGGCCATAAACTTACAGCGCTTGCCACATTTCCGCATTTGTTTGTTTTTGAGATGACCGGCCGACCGACCAAGCATCCGACCGAAAGGGAAAAGCACATGCCAGACAACGAATGCTTACATAAGAACCAACAAGTCGGTATGTTTCTGTTTGTATCGGTGCTTGTGCTGGAACATGGTCTTTAGCATGATTCTCATGTTAATGTTGATACGCAACATATTTGCCAGCGAGTCGGCCGGCAATCTATGTTGGCAATTTGCTTGGCCCCACTTCACAGCTATTGCTGGAGCATCATGTGTTGCAATAAAAACAAATTGTGGCAAAAAGTACTCCACTTCCATGCATCCATTGGTGGCATGGCAAATGAATGGTGAATAGCAGCGGACGGAGACCGTTGGCAAATGCTTACGGATGTGCAAATAAAATTATATGCTCTCTTGTGGCTAATGCGATTGATGATGAAAGCCAGCGCGTGCGCCCAGCCTGGGAAGACCGACAATAGTTAACCGAAAAACTACACATCACATGGTGCAGACCGTGTGATGATGATGATGATGACGACGACGAAGGCGATGCTTCATTGGAGTCTTCCAATGCGACGCACATTAGCCAGAAGGAGCTGGAGCCGCAAATGCATACCTCAGTTATATCAACAATTCGCAAATAAGAACAACAACAACAGCAACATTAAAATAGAGATCTGCATTGCAGAATAATGTGCATGAATTGAACAGCGTGTTGTACCTCGTGGTAATATGGGTGTTTGCATGACACAATCAAATGCCATAGGTGGGGGCCACATACGTTAAAGGTATATCTTTTTGATTTAGAAGAGTTTTACAACAGTTGCGATATTATTCGATTGTGAATAGTAAAACCTGCAGTTAAATTTAAGAGAATGTGGCGTTCTCTTTAAATAATTTTTATTAGATAACAAGTAAACATACATTAAGGCCGTTATAGACCCCCTTATACCAAAACGGGAACTTCTATAGACAATTGTATACTTCCAGGATTGTCATCTTCCAAATCTTTTCAAATACAAAATTTGAGGCAATTTAGTGGGTAAATGTGACTAGGATTATCAAAATACCGAATATCGGTGGGTATCGTTATATGTGCGCCATGGGAAAAGGAGGAACCTAAATTTTCAATGTTCTGCCACGGAACCTAGAACAGAATATGAACTACAAATACCAATTTTTAGACAAATCCGTGAAAAATGTTGCAAAATATCGAATATCGGGAGGTACTGTTATATGGGGGCTATACAAAAACTTGGACCTATACATATGCGACCTATACATATGCGAAAAACGAATATCGGGAGACACCGTTATATGGCGGCTATTCCAAAACGTAGACCGATATATCTGATTTTCAATACCATCCTAGACACAATACAAATTGTTCTGCCAAGTTTTTAAGCTCTATGTCAATTAATATGGGCCGTATCGTGATTTCAACAGACAGACGGACAGACAGACATCGTTAAATCGACATAGAATTTTATGCTGATTATGAATATATACTTTATGGGGTCTAAGACGAATATTTAGGGATGTTACAAACGGAATGACCCTCCTTTTTAAGGTGGAGAGTATAAAAATATTCGACAGGACGAAGCTGTTATATGGTTTATTTTAAAATGTGACAGCCGTTACACAATTTTACTATAATTTACACAAATTTTCAGTAAAGGAGACCTAAATTAGAGATAAAAGTAGACAGTTCTGTTTTATTGCCTTAAATTGTTAAACACAACCTGGTCACAAACGTTGCAACTTTGAATACAACATCTCCAAGTTGTACCAACGGCTGTAACGTGTGTGGTTCCATCACTGAGAATATTTTCCCAGTAAGGATTTGCAAACATTCTATTACTCAAGTCACTCTCTTTTTGTGGACTTTTGGGCAATCGAATAAGATTTTGTAATCATTTTCGATAGCTAATCGATCTATCTGGTGCTGGTACCCTATCCATTTGTGACATAACATATACGGTTACATTGTGCCTCGTGTACACGGAACCACCCATATGCTGAGATAAACCATAAAATACCACAACAATTTGTGTGCGTAAAATGTAAATTTATGCAGAACATCTTGTCCGCAGCCGTGAAGAACGCAATGATGTCTATGTGGTCGTCTATTCGCCCGTCGACAGGAAGATAATAACTAATGATGACGGTGATGGCTCCATAGACTGGTGGAAACATTCCGCAGAAAATTGTTCTTTCTCCACCGCACAGCAATAGCAAGAACAACAACAACATCATCATCATCAACCATTCAAAGGATAAATAATCACCAAGTGCATGGTCATTAGCGTTCTAACCGATCATTGATTATGGTGGTGTTGTGTGGTGGTTGTGGCTGGGCAGTTCTGGCAAAACCTAGCAGTAAATCTTCACCGTAAATGGAGAGGGATCTTGTCCGCGAAGTGCTATAAATAAGCTAATTCATGATTATGATTATCGTATAAAAGTGAAGGCAACCGCCAACCAATGGCCCCAAGGATAAACAAACACGAAGCGAACGCACGCACGCACGTACTTACATCAATTGCCCAGAGACGTATCATACCATCGCGTTTTGGGTGGATGAGTTAAGGCGAAAGAAGTATGTTTTTCTGTTTGTGACGCTACTGTCGCTGAGCTTGGATCATGGATGGAAAAGATGGGATCGTGTCGAACATTAACACTTCTTAGTTATGACTTTGGGCAACAGAAGCGTTGAATGACCACAAATCAAACAACAACAATGACCACGAGCCGAAAGATGAATGTGATAATTAATGTAAAATAGCCAGTGTTAACAAGTGAATGGAAGAATGGACGCATGGATCGAGGTTTTACAGTGGACTTGGGGGCAAATAGCTATTAAAAACTCAGCTACATACATATGTCAATAGAATATTATGTTTAATTTCTTATCGTGCTAAATGAAAGTTGCTAGAAAATACAAAGGCCTCTAAACTCTGTTTAGCAGAATTGTGTTAGGTTTATAACTACGATACTATTTGGGAAATATAAATCTCATCAATAATACAATCTGACAAATTAAGGAATATGCAGATGTAAGTCTGCAGGCCCACTGTGGATCCTTGTTTCCGCTAAAAGACAAAGGTGATGACGATATTGATGACAACAACAATAATAAAAACAATAATCGTCACGTTAACTGGTATTTAGCACTGCATCTTCCTCTTATTCTCAGTGGCCAAACTGAGAGAGAACACCCCCTGTCCAATGCCTGATTGATTGATGGATCAATGGATTTTTTATGCACATCCAAACATTTTCCACTCTGTTTCGCTTTGTTTCCTAGCAGCCGGCCGGAGGACGGTTTGCTGCCCGACTGGCTAAGTTGACAACGTGATTTGACTGATTAACATCAAGAGCCGCCAATAAAATTAGCAGACGACACAACATTGGGCTCCAACAGTGCCTCGGCCTGTCACTCAGTCAGTTAGCCAGCCAGTCCATTGAATTACACCAGCAACATTCAACATCATTTACTTCTATATCTGGCTTTGTCAATTGAATTTCAATTCGCCACAATGTTTCCAATTTAACAAAAGCGGAAGCCGTTTGCCATTCAATTTAGGAAGTGGCCACACTCGTATGTAAATCTCATAAGTCTTTATTGTCGTCATCGTTGATGACGACAACTTCTGTCGCTGTCACTGCGAAAATTTAAGCAGAAAGAGGCCAAGGCACCGTGTTGAGCTAAATCACACGCCAGAGGATGAATCAAAGAATCGCACAACATGATTTCCATTACGAGATGGAATTCTGCAGGACAGCGGGGCGATATGACAAAGGCTTCCGTTTTTATTAATTTAACACTTTACTATGGGGGGAGTAGCAGCAACGTAAATAAATGCCAAGTGAAAAGAGTTAAGTCAGCAGGAGGGGACTAAGAAGTATGGATGTGTCCTATAACTCAATGATTTATAAAATGAATACAAAATGTCGTTGCGAGCGAAGAGAACAATTTTGAGTAACTGAGAGTTTGCAAATTCTTACTAAGAAAAATTGAATTTAAAACCAAAAGAAGACCTTGGTCTGAATTTACCTCTTGGACGACCTTATAAATAGGGCGTTGTTAAAAAATTTCAATAAAAGCTGTTGTCAATAAAAAAAATCTGACATTTCGTCTGATTTTAGAAAAATTTAGTGTAAACAAGTAAAAAAACTTTAAGTTCGACCGAGCCGAACTTTGAAGGTCCTCCACCATTTGGAACGAATTTGGCAATTCTCAAAACCAATAAAATCCGTTAAAAATTCTGTTAAAATCCAAAATTGCCGAATGTAGCTGTAATATTAGAGTCTATATGACGACATGGGCTTGCATATGTAACATTTGTCATAAGCCATTACAATATTCAATAGCGAAACTTAAAACAAATTGGTAATAATGTAAATAAAATTATTAAAATACCGAATATCGGGAGGTACCGTTATATGGGGGCTATACGAAGACCTGCACAGACAATTTTCTGACTTAGGCTGTAGTATTCATTAATAATTTTAAATACCAAATTTGAAACAATTCCGATGATTTCCACAGACGGACTGATATCGCTTAATCGACATAGATTTTTATGCTGGTCAGGAATATATATATATAAAATGTGTATTTCGAGGTGTTACAAACGGAATGACAAACTTAATATACCCTCCATTTGGAGCATTTTTAAGATTCCAGTTCCATTTCCCTCTTAGGTAATAAGGCAGGTAATTTTTCATACAAGACCTATACTTATTGCTACATGCGTTGGTACATCCCGACGATTTTTGATATTTTGAAGATTTCATCCAAAACTTTCGAAAACTATTTCCAGTATTTTTTTTTTTTCATTTTCCAGCCTAAGAGATTGTAATTTTAAATTAACTCTAGATCTGACGCTTTTCAAATAGGCCATTATACAGTCGGATTTTAGGTATTTTGTAGTTCTTAGTCACAGTTTCCTAACGACGGAAGGTTTAAAATGTTCATCCTGGTCGATTGAAGATTCGTGTTTACTTGTCTTTGAATAAAATTTATTCAAAATCCTCTTTGAAAGCGTTTAATTCACAATTTGTATAAACCTTGATATATATATATATATATATGTTCCTCTCCCCACAACGAAAATAAAAAAATAAAACATATTATGTCAGTGAATTACATACCCAAAGCTAATAAATATACATATCTATAAACATACATATGTCTCTTCTCCTCATAAAAGGTGTGGATTAGACATATTTTTATTCCCCATAAAAATATGTAGATCACCACACATTTGCATATCACCCGATGGGCATCATCGCCATCGCCATCGTCATCCATAACCATCATCATGCATTTATTATCTGTCATTAATGATTCCGTTATTGTTTTTGACAATTTATCTTCTTTCTCCCACTCTGATTTAATGCCAACCGCCGTACGCGCCGATCGTTGTGGTAAAATGAAGATGTAAACAAATGTTTTATCAAATTCAAAGGTAATGCTCTGTCATTGGGATTGTCACCTTCCAATAAGACACAGAACAGATCGAAAGAAAGTTCGGTCGGTCGGTCGGTCGGTCGGTCGATCGATGTAAACAACAAATGCACCACTCTCTGTGAAACACTGCCATCATCGCCATCATCATCAGCAACAACATCAAAACTAATGTAAATACACACCCATGTAATCACCCAATCGCCACCACCCACCCACTCTCTAACAGCCTCTCACTCATGTGAATTAGATCTTTTCGATTCCTTGATTTGATTTCTTTGGGTTTATTTAAAATTTGTTTTTTTTTCTCTCTCGAGCTTTATTGCCGCAAATGTCTACAACACAAGCACAATACTTCCGTTCAAATGCCTAGCCGATCTTTTATGTTTCCAAAGAATGCCGATCAGCGGACCAGACGACCCAGACAGACCAAAAAACAAATAAATGCATAAATCTTGGATTCAAACTCTCCTCTCGAGTCGACTCGATTTGACTTTGCTTTGTTGTTGGTTTTGTTTTTACGATTATTATTGTTATTGTTATGACAGAGGCAGACGAGCGAACTGGTGCGTGAGTAGCTGATGCTGGTTGCGGTGGTCCATCGGCAGCAGTGTGAATTCAAATGTTCGCATTCTCGTACGTACATGAATATGGTTGTGTGTTGCAATGACAACAGCTACAACAGCCCCCATCAACAGCATCGCAACTCAACAGCGCTCGTCAAGTCCATTTATTTTAATATTTGTTTGTTTAACTACTTTTTAATTGAGCCATTCTTTTGTGATTATATTTTTGATTAATTGTTTCAATGTTGTAGTTGTCTTAGTTCATAGACTTAAATTCCCATCTCTGCCTCCGCTGGTTCCATGCTAATAATATTTCATTATCTTTTCCCTTCCCTCCAGGCAATAATCGCAACACGCAAGGCGATGTTATTGATCGCAAATCCAATCAATGGCTCGGTGCAACAGTGGCTACAAGTCGCAACAGTGATTTAGTTGTGGTAAGTATTATTAATATTATTATTGTCATTATCGATGAATTATTTACAAAAAAATATTTATTTTGATAATAAATGAAAATGCATATGTGTATGTGAAACAATATAACTATACATATGTCTATTATAAGGCGGCAATTTTATTTTCAATGGAATTAAATGAAGTGTACAGCAATAAAATTAATATGTTTAAAATAATAATATTGTGTCATTACGTCGGATGGCATCAAATGGAAATTTTACATCAACAAGTAAGCCATATTTAAAAGCTATGGACCTACATACTGTTTTATGTCTGCTCCTGAACTTAGCCTGATATAAATATTATCACAGAAAAAGTTTGATCTTTATCGAGTACTCGATTAGATTTATATTAGATATATATTTTTCGAAATTTTAAGTTAAATTTGACAATCACAAATGCACAAAAATATTAGGATGTGCAAAATTTGAAAAAGAAATATTTTTCCACTGTCACACCATCCACCAAGTCTTAATAGACCAAATTAAAAATTCCTGTAATTTTTCAAACTTTAACAAGAAGGAAAGATAATTTTCCAAATATTAAGTTCGGCCGGGCCAAACTTTGAATTCCCTCCACAATTTGGAACGAATTACGGCTATACGAAGACCTAGACCTGCATAGACCATTTTATGTCATAGACTGTAGTTCCCATTACGAACTTTAAATAATGTCGCTAAAACCATTAAAATACCGAATATCGGGAGGTATCCTTATATGGAGGCTAAACGAAGTCGTGGATCTGCATACGCAATTGTTTGTCATAGGCTGCAGTACCCATTACGAATTCTAAATACGAAATTTGAAACAATCCGGTGAATAATGTCCCTAAAATCGTCAAAATATAGAATACCCGGGGGTACCGTTGTATGTGGGCTATAAGATATCGTGGACCTATATAGGCATTTCTCTCCCAGTGGGTAAATTGCTAAGAAAGAACTTCAAGTATGGAGTTTTGACAATTCAATTGAAAAATATATATAAAATCATCAAAATACCGAATATAGGGAGGTACCGTTATATGGAAGATATACGATATCATGGACCAATACAGACAATACTCTTTCAGTGGTATAGTACTTAGAAGGAACTCCTTTAGTGCATTTTCAGACACTTTAATTGAGAAATTTGGCTACAATCATCGAAATACCGAATATGGTACCCCCATTATGGTATGGCTATACGATATCGTGGACCGATATAGCTCATATTCAAACTTGACCTGCCTGCAGACAAAGGACTGATCTGGGTAAAATTTTAGCTTTCTATCTTTATTCATTTTGACCCTAGCGTGATTTAACAGACGGGCGGATCGTTTAAATGAAAACCGTCATTTTGGGGCTATACGAAGACGAGGACCTGCATAAGTAATTTTATGCCATAGGCCTATTCCGAACTTTAATGGCCCATTTACGAACTTAAACTGCCTTCTGGCGAAATACACATGGGTGCAAAATTTTACAACAGACAGACACATACACAGTCAGACGGATATCGCTAAATTGACTTAGAATTTTACGCTGATCAAGAATTATATACTTCGTTGGGCCTGACATGAGTATTTCGAGGAGTTACAAACTGAATAACAAAGTTAATATACTCTTTATAGTAGGGTGGAGAGTATAACAATTATGGATAATAATGAAGTAGCAGCAATATCTGGATATGGTATTTACTTTATAATGATGGTTTAAGATCCTGATTATACTCCTCCTGGGACTTTTATTCTCGCACAGATATTGCCGGCCCAAAAATGGTGGTTGGCACTTGCTTTAAGACCCGAATTCATCTCATTCGTATGCTAATGATGAAAACGTTTTTTTCGAATCCACATAAATCATCAACCCGACCTACCTCATCGGCTGGCTGCAGCAATGAAAGTTGCTGGTGGTAATTTATAATCAGCTTTAAAGCTTACGACTTTATTACTTTCGCTTTTACACAAGAAATAAATATTCTCTTGATGTTGTTGTTGTCGTTGTCGCTATTGCTCTTATTGTGTCTCGATAGCCATGAACTAAATTTTCTTGGTGGGCTTTTATTTCGATAAACAAGCGCCCGTCCAATCCGGGGAAAAATTAAAAAAGAAAACAATATTTTGTGACACATTTATGTGTGTGTGTGTGTTTGTGTGTGCAGTCAAAGAATCTGTTGGTGAGTAAGCGAGTGGGTGGCCCGGCCACTCATATAACAGTTTACATTTGGAACGTGATGAATCCATCGCTCCCATCAGAGTGGGAGGGAGTTGGACAATATAAACATGTCTTTAGCGTTTACCTTTTGACTGTTATGACACCCAGACCAGGAGACCAAACGACCGACTTTACATCGGAGCCAAAGAGCAAAGTATCAGGCGGCAAACCAAAATATGCGAGTAAATGGCCATAAACATTGTTTTCACTTTTCATTAAAACGTAGAAACCTGCAGCGTAGACCATGTCCGTTATCGTATGTGTAATCCCGGTCGATTGTCTGTCTGTCTGCCTGTCCGTCCGTCTTGAAAGGAATTTGTAACATTCACTTCATTTCATGACATGACATGCCATGGAATGTGTGAATGTGGTGTTAGCCATTTCGTTGGTTACTCCATGCATTGTGGGGGAAATCTTATTGGGTCACTTGCACTGCTATCACATCACCGCCATTCGGCCATCATCATCAGCGGCAGCAGCAGCAGGTTATCCACCGGAGGAATTATGGTATATCCTACACAGGTTATATAGTACATTGCCCCCACCGCTGCTCGCCAGTTTAAGGTGTGTCCTCTGGGTCTTGGGCTTAAATGATTTTTAATTGTTAACGATTTGTTGTTGTTGATGTTTGTTCGTCGTCATTTCGCCATGATTTTTTGCGTTCAGTCTTGATGAGTGGTGGGTCGGTGCTGTGTAATCTATGTTGTGATTAATTTTTGCTTTCCCTTGAGCCATTGTTTGTCTTCCACTAATGAAAGCTCAATTAATGTGCGATAAGTATCTCCTAATCAAGGGTCGCAGTGCTTTCCCTATTACCTTTTGTTCGTTGCCTGTGTACGGACTTTCGAACTTATATCGGCATTTTTATGAGGTAAATGTTGGATTTAAAGACTCTTTGGCCTTTAATGCGGTTGTTGGCTTTCGTTTAACTTTATTGTTGCGAACATGACCTCCAATTGATTCCTGATGGCCGTGTGCAAACAATTATTTCTTTGTTGGATTTGGTTTAATGGATTCGTCTTGTTTTACGACAGAGTCTTTCCATTTATGGCCGATGGTTAAAATGAAATTGATGACACATTCTGTCAATTTGATGGCAGCGAAATGGAAACATTATTTTTTTAAAATAAAATTAAAAACAGAATAAAGAAGGAAAATTTAATGCCATTTTACAATGTCCACAAATCGAGGGGAGATTAACACATGTCCTGCTTTCAGTAATCCTTGAATGTTAATTTGTCATTCTTTATTATATATTGGACCTCCTGTTAACTCATATATTTTAAACTGTTGATAGTTTTTCGTAAACTTCTCTATTAGAGTCTGGTTTATCCGAAGGTGTTGTATTTAAATCAATACACTCTACTACAAAATGAAATGGTTTGAAATGTATAGGCATGCGATCTCTACAAATCTTGCGTTTATGAAAAGATTGAAATGGTAAATCGGATATTAATTTCGTGTTTTATGAGCTTTATGAATATTCACAATTTTGACCCTTTGTGGGGGAGATACTTGATGGAGTGAACCGATATTGTCCATTTTCGCACCTGACCTAGAACTGATGTAAATATTAGGATTTTTGAAAATGTTGACCTTTTGTAGGGGAGGTACCAGAAGGAGTGGACCGATATTGGCCATCTCCGAATTCGATCTAAGTTTGACAATGTTATTACGATGTACCAAGTTTGGATCAAATCGGATACTCCCTTCGAAAGTCATCATGCGAACCAGCCATCCAGCCAGACGGACGGACATCGCTAGATCGACTCCAAATGTCCTGAAACTGATATTCTCAGTATGTGGTTACAATGGATAAACTATACAGCTCTAAATTGACTCAAATTTTGATTTGTAAATAATTTTCACTCTTTTAAGAATATATCCTTTATTTATTTCCCTGATAACTAATATTGATTTACTATATAAATAATTTGTAGTCCCATTTATTGTTTGACAACAGCAATTTAATTATTTATTTACATAATTACGGTTACTTAGCATTACTTATGTAACTGCCTTAAGGTCGTAGCATTATTACCATTTTTAAACATTAAAATCATATGCCAACATACAAAATTCGAATTAGCGACTTAGTCTCTTTTCATTTGCAACTGACTAACAAACAATAAGCATAATTTTCATGAATATTAAATGTTATTGTCGGCATTTTGCCGTTAAATGCTATTAACAAATCAATTGTTGTGAATTAGCACAGACTGGATACAATCTTATGTGGCGAACCTCCTCCAGCTATGCTGGTTGATATGATCACCACAGCTCTGTACTGAACTGAACGAAACGAAACAAGCGATCATCGATTTGATCGTGTTGACTTTTGACATGGCACTCCTGTCTGCGATATAATGGCATCGCCACAGTCAGTCATACCCACCATGCGGTGATTTGCAAACAGATGCCCGATTTGCGCTGCTGCTCTTTATGTTTGCAACATATTCGCACCTAATACGGTGCAGACGACTGCGGCGAATGGACAGACAACGAATGTCAAAAAAGCCTGGTCATGGAATTGACAACGTGACACAACAGTTTTGGGAGCCTGCATGTCGACCGTCATGTGCATCCGCAAATGTGCAAATGATGCACCGCTGCCACACCATTGCCATCAAATACAATGAAGTTCCATTGGATGGCTGGAAATTAAACAATCATCGATTACCCCATTCAAAATTGAGGATCTTCGAATCCCTCCTCATCTCTTCCTTTCAATGCCCTGTTTTGCGGTAGAGCCATTGTTCGGCAAAGAAATACATTTCACAGTCTACAAT